TACAATCATTTTTTTGGGACAAAATTTTCTGACATAATCCCAATCATCATTTTTGAAATCTGATATTTCATCTGGATGCTTACAATTTTAAAATTATTTCAACTTTATTTGTTGAAATAAAAATAAAAGTAAATATTTTGAAGGATACTTTAAAAAATTTTCTCTCAAGTTATTAACTTAAAAATATTTAAAAAATAGTAATTAGACTAATTTTGTAATACTTTATTAACTTGATTAATGATTTTATAGTATTATTTCACTTCGTATTTAACTTTTATTCTATTATATTTAATTTTCCATATTCTAATTACTTGTTACCTCTTAATAATCGATAATATTATGAATCTTTAATAATTAAATAGTTGTATATAGAGATGCATAACTTTATTGTAATAAATTAAATTTTCTTTGTAAGTAAGGCATAATTTAGGAAATAAAGATCTAGCTAATCATTTATTTGTGAATTGATATTGTTTATTTTTATTTTAGGTAATTTTAAATTCATTGTAAATAATACAGTTGCAATATTAAGGTATCACTTGCAAATTAAGCTACCCTTTTAGCTTGATTTTATATATTCATCTTTTTATAATTTTATTTAAAAAATTTACTTCATAATTTCTTACTATTTCTATTATGTTCTAATTCTATAATTCAATTTTATAAATTCTAATTCTTAATAATAGAATTATAAAAAATATAATAATATTTTTGATTATTTTTTATTTATTCATTTCCTAATTTTAAATTCAAATATTTTTATATTCTTCATTAGGTAACAATAAGCCTTTTATTAATAAAGTATAGTATCCAAAATGTAATATGGTGAAAGCCGTGAAGCTTGTAGAAATCAAATGTATCAAATTAAACTATTTTGTGAGTTTGAGTCTGAATCTATATATTTGAACAAACTAGAGAATAGAAGAAAATAATATAGTGAAATATAATGAAATATTTTAAATAAAAAAAGTTAGAATCATAATCGGAGTATGTTTAAATGACTTTTGATTTTAAAGAAGTTTTAGTTTATATACAAAAATCAAGTAATAAAATTTAAAGAGCTTATTATTTTATTTATATCTATAAAATGAGATGAAAGAAAAAAAAAAAATTTACTTTTTTAAAATTTAATAGTAAATATAACAGAAAAATTTATTTAACTTATTTTTGATATTTCAAAGGAGATATCATATTAATTTATAAGGATTAAAAAAAATAATTTTTATAATGATAATCATGTTAATTATATTTTTAATAGCTAATTGTATTCAAATAGAAAGCCAAAAAATATACCTTTGTATTGTAATAAGTAGTAAATAGTTCATTAGTGTGATGAATAAACTTTTCTGTTCTAGTAGACCAAAATGGCACTTAAAAATCCGTCTTATTAAAACATACTTATTATTCTTTTCACTTTATATTAAAACAATTATTACACTAATAAAATTATAATCAAAATAATCTAAAAAATAAAAAAGAATAAAAATAATAATCCATTATAATTTTTGAATATAAATTAATACTCTTAATAAAGATTAAGGAGTTAAAAAATATAAGAATGGAAGAGAAGTCATAATAAAAGGTAGATAAATTTATATCTAGCGAGACCGAAAGGTGTATTTAATTTCTAGTACAATTCTAACGTTTGGGATATCATTAACTGAGTAGGTTATTATTATACAAAAGATCTTTTTAAAGAAAGGAGGTATCTTACAACAAGTTTAATGAGAAAATAATTGAGATCTTTTTGTTGATTGATTAGCTTTTCTAAATAATTCTAGTTTTCAATAGTCTAATTATTGATTAGAATATAAAGAGTTACTTAAATATAAATTAAACATTATCAATATTTGAAAACTTTACTCATATCTTTTCTAACAAACACTTTACTTTTCATTTATTCTTAAAAAAAATTAATCCATGAACTGTCTATTGATAAATTATAATTTTTAGAGTAAAGAAATTTTTTTTGAATTATTAAATGATTATATTCTAATGATGTAATGATTGAATTGTTAATTTAAATTAATCAAAAATTTGTTTCTCAATTTATTCTATTCTTTCATTTTCTATAGCTTATCTGATTTTTATTATATTCTCAAAAATAATTTAAGCTTTTATAAATTTCAGTTCTCTGTTTAGATAGATAATTTATTTTGAAGAAAAGTTACATAATTTTGTTTAAATTAGCAACATTTAGCAACTACTAATATAACTTAAATTTCTAGATTTATTTTTTGATGATGAAAGAAGAGATATTAAATTTTGGGAAAATATATGAATACATACAGGATGTAATTATATTTCGTTAATTTTAATCAATTTTGCTTCCCGAAAACAATCATGCTATTAAGTGAAATTTTTTTAAATTGATAAAAAATCAAATTTTATATTTAAATAATATAATTTCGATGAATTAATATTTAAAAAATAAAATTATTTAAAAATATTTAATGTCAAATTTTTTTGGAAAAATATAATCAACTTGAACTATCAATACTAGGATTATAAATTTTTTTATTTTGAAGATCTACTTCTAAACAACAGGAATTTCTTGATATAAATTTGATAAAGGTTTTATTAGAATTGATTGGAGTTAGGATAGCTTAACCATAATCGTTGATAAAAATATGAATAATTTATAATTCCTTATAAAAATAAGAAGGCAAAATGAAATATCTTGAAATATAAAAAGTTCCTTAAAATATGGGTATATTTATTCATAGAATATAATTGAGATTAAAACTCTAAAAAATTAACCTTATCTATAAATTAAGAACTCATTACTACCTACTACGGTGAATTCAAAAGAAGTATTTACTAAGGTCAATTCAAACCTTCCCAGTTAAGGGCGAAAACAACAAGAGCAGTTATAAGAACAGATATATGGGGGATTTGCGAAAAAGAATAAATCATTATTGATTATATTAAAAATAATATGTTGAATTCAAGGTGAAGATCCTTTTCATTGTTTGTTATAATTATAGTTCTCCTTTTTATGAATTTCATTCTCTTTTTGATAATTTTAGATCTCCTTTTTATAATTTTAAATCTCCTTCTTATAATTATCGTTCTCTTTTTTATAATCATCATCTCTTTCTTATAACTATAGTTCTCCTATTTCTAAGCATCGTTCAGCCTTTGATGATTTTCTATCTCCTTTTTATAATAATCGATATCTTTTTTATAACTATAGATGTCCTTTTTATAACTATCTATCAAACTTTCTTAAAATTTATAATTATTCTCCAAAATTTCTTTTTTTCAGATGATTTATTTATTCTCTTCTCTCATCTATGTAAATAATGATTCTTTTTCTAATGGTAATAAATAAATTAGATTACATTTTTGTTTTTGTGAAAATTCTATTAATTTAGGATCTTAACAAAAAGGATTATACTTACCGGAGACAAAGTTTAGTAAAGGATTATTTGTATTGATTGATTATTAATAAAACTTAAAGGGTTTTTAGAAACAAAAATTATAAATTACCCCTTATATATTTACTAAATTCTCATTTATATTAAATTATGGCATTAATTCTTGTTAGAGTGTATCTATATTCTGTTTTAATGTTTCAAATATTGTTAGATTCGTCAGATTCTCTTTAAATTTTGAAAAGGTAGCNTAAACAACAGGAATTTCTTGATATAAATTTGATAAAGGTTTTATTAGAATTGATTGGAGTTAGGATAGCTTAACCATAATCGTTGATAAAAATATGAATAATTTATAATTCCTTATAAAAATAAGAAGGCAAAATGAAATATCTTGAAATATAAAAAGTTCCTTAAAATATGGGTATATTTATTCATAGAATATAATTGAGATTAAAACTCTAAAAAATTAACCTTATCTATAAATTAAGAACTCATTACTACCTACTACGGTGAATTCAAAAGAAGTATTTACTAAGGTCAATTCAAACCTTCCCAGTTAAGGGCGAAAACAACAAGAGCAGTTATAAGAACAGATATATGGGGGATTTGCGAAAAAGAATAAATCATTATTGATTATATTAAAAATAATATGTTGAATTCAAGGTGAAGATCCTTTTCATTGTTTGTTATAATTATAGTTCTCCTTTTTATGAATTTCATTCTCTTTTTGATAATTTTAGATCTCCTTTTTATAATTTTAAATCTCCTTCTTATAATTATCGTTCTCTTTTTTATAATCATCATCTCTTTCTTATAACTATAGTTCTCCTATTTCTAAGCATCGTTCAGCCTTTGATGATTTTCTATCTCCTTTTTATAATAATCGATATCTTTTTTATAACTATAGATGTCCTTTTTATAACTATCTATCAAACTTTCTTAAAATTTATAATTATTCTCCAAAATTTCTTTTTTTCAGATGATTTATTTATTCTCTTCTCTCATCTATGTAAATAATGATTCTTTTTCTAATGGTAATAAATAAATTAGATTACATTTTTGTTTTTGTGAAAATTCTATTAATTTAGGATCTTAACAAAAAGGATTATACTTACCGGAGACAAAGTTTAGTAAAGGATTATTTGTATTGATTGATTATTAATAAAACTTAAAGGGTTTTTAGAAACAAAAATTATAAATTACCCCTTATATATTTACTAAATTCTCATTTATATTAAATTATGGCATTAATTCTTGTTAGAGTGTATCTATATTCTGTTTTAATGTTTCAAATATTGTTAGATTCGTCAGATTCTCTTTAAATTTTGAAAAGGTAGCTAATAACATTTTTATAGCCTCATCATTTAATTATAAAACTTAATCTTCTAGAATTGAATAATTATCATTTATTCCTCATTTTAATTTATCAAAAGAATCTTAGATCTAATTCATTTTAGAAACTGAATCCTTTAACACTCCCTCACATTTTGAATAGTACTTTAAAGGAAATCTAAAAGTTTCGAAACTTTATCTTCATGCTACTAATGATTTTCTCTGATGCAATCACTACAAGCAAATGAATTATTGCATTCTTTTTTTGTACAAATGTATTCTATTTCTTATCCAGGATGCTGTTAGCATTACCTCATTGAATTAAATATTTAATATTTTTCAAAAAACTTAAATGATCTTAATTCTACAGTACGATTATTAATAAAAAAATAAAATAATGTTATCAGATTGCTTTTTTTTAATAAAAAATTGTCTTTTAGTCTTATAAATTTCTTAACTCTTAAGATCATAATCATAATCTCTTAAATATTTTTAATAGAATAAAGAATTATTTAACAAATTAAGAGTTCAATAAATCAGGTAGACACAAATCGCCAAACAAATCATTTTGTTTATTTTTTGTTTTAACAAAAGAATATTTCTTAATCAGAATTATTTTGCATTTATCTCTTTATATAAATCTTCTATTTCATTTTTCTTTGAAACATAACCTGTAATCAAATTATTTAATATGATATAAACAAAAAAAATTCTCATTCCTATTATTCATCACTTTAAACAATTTTTATTTTTATTGTCTTTGAATATACTTTTAATTATTTTTGTTCTTGTTGATGAATTAATTTTATAATTTTAATCTTCTTTTGTAGTTTTCTTAGTTCATCAAAGCAATATTATGAGATGCAACAATAAATTTATTATATTTGAACTCTAGACTCAGATATTTTGGATATTTTAATTATTTTCTTTAGATCTCTTCAAAAATATGTTTATATAACACAATACATGTTTTATTTGTTAACCTATTTTATTTTAATATCTACCTCTTGATTTAACAATACACAAATTCGATGAACATAATTTATGAAATTATCGGAGAAGTAAACGTCTTTTTTTGCATTTGAACAACTGTTTGAGTATCATTATATAGGTATAATCAGTAATTTAACTTAAATTGCATTCAATTCTTATATGATTCAGGCTTTCTTGATTAATTCTATAAAAATTAAATTTTTAATCACTATAATTATTTCTACTATCAACTCATCCTTATCCAGTATTCGTTTTGCATGTTAATATTGCATTTAGACAGCATTTATCTATAGAAGATTGTTATTAATAATTGATACCATGTATTAACATCTACAATAGTATTCTTAGTAGTTTCCTAATAGCAAAGACTTGCTTTTTATATCATATAAGCATAAACTTCATATATATCAGTTGATGTAATTATTACATAATAATTACAATTTAGTAAATATTTTACAATTCTGATTTGCTTTCCAAGATTTGTATATAGTTTTACTTTATGGTTTTACTTTGAATATTAGAAGCTATAGTTTTAGACCATCAATTTAACATTAATAATAATTTTGAAGTACAAATGAATATATTATCTATCAATAAATATGAAAATAAATTTTAAAGTTTTTAGTTTCTCATACAATTATTACTCAATATAATTAATGGTAAATTATTATACTAACAAGCGAAGCAAGTTATGCTAAATTAAAAAAAATACATTTAACTAAATGTCTTTATTTTCACTGATATTTCATTTTATTATGTGATTTATTATTATAATTTTTGTTCTTATAATTTAAATAATATCAAAAATACAATTACTAACAAAATGAAGAATGCTTACTTAAATCATTGAAAATATTATTCTTATCTATAAGATTTCTCTCAAAACTCTAGCTGATCGATGCAACTGATTATACAGTTTTAATTGCAAGTTATATTTAAATAGAATTTAAAGTTGATTATTAAATATATATAATTCTATTAAATATTTTTATATAGAATAATTTATTTGATTTCATATTTTTATTTCTTTTTAATTAGTTGAAACTAATTGATAATGATCTAGATACTTCATTTTGTTAAGAGATTAAAATTATGTTAAATAGGTTAAATTTATTAATTATAATTAATTTTTAAAAGATTTCACAAGAAAGCCAATTCTATATTTGTCTTTTACCAATTAATTATAATTCATAGAAAATATATGAGCTTATCGTAATTTGAATTATCATATTAAGTTATCTAAGAAATTATTTAGAATAGCTACTAAGGGTAAATAGAATCTTATTATTTTTCTTTGCTTGTGAATATTTCTAATTATTTGTTCACTGCTTTTCCTGGTTCATAAAAAAAGGATATACAAGAATTGATAATATATCATGTATACTAATATTATTAGAAATCTTCTATTTCATCATCTTTCACTCAGATAATGATTTTACTTTTCCTTTATTGCCAAATTCTTTCTGATAATTTTCATAAGATTCCTAATAAAGTTGTGTTCTTGTAGGTCCATCTTTATCATCCTTATGGTTTGAATCTATCCTTAAAAGTTATTAAATTGCTTGAGTATTTCTTTTTAAATTTTATGTAAAAATATTTAGAGTATTTTTGTGAAAGCATTTATATCAGGGTTTATATTAAATTATAATATACATATTTGGCATAAAAAAAAGTTGAAAAATGAAATATATTTCATAAAAATTAATATTATTATTTAATAGAATTAAATGTAATAAATGGATAAAATAGAATAAATGAATGAGATTGGAGAAAACATAATAGCAGATGTGATTGTAAGGATTAAAAAAAACTTTACCAGATTTTAATAGTATATGAACAAATATAGAGACAAAAAAGTGATTATTTTATGTGGAAATACGGGTGCTGGAAAGAGTAGCATCTATAATTGGTTGTTAGGAGCTGATTTCAAAATGAAGCAAGAGAATGGAGTAGATTATTTATAACCTCATCATTATGATGAAAAAATGTATATCTCAAAAATGGGAACTAATACAAATTCTATTACAGAAACATCAATTTATTAATATATTGAAGAATTGGATCACATTCTTGTTGATCTTCCTGGATTTGAAAGTACTAAAGGGGATTATCATAAACTATTTATTGATTTACTCTTTCATAAAATAACTACAACATTTTAAACTAAAATAGTCTATGTATTAGATAATCCATAAAAAGAATTATAAAACAGAGGAAAGGATTTTACATAATTCATTAATTAATTAATTGGATTCAATTCCAATAATATACCTAACATTTTTCTTATTATTAATAAATACTCTGAAGATGGAATAGATAATGAACAAATCTAAAGAATTTAAGTATAGTTAGAAGAAATAAAAGAATTTAAAGGGAGAATGCTTAAAAATATTCATATTATACGAAAAATAAAAAACAAAGAAATGATTTAATAAATATTCGCTGAATAACCAAGAAAATTTCTTCTTTAAAGTTTGATTAAATCAGACATTTTTACTCTGTAATCTACAAATAGAATATAATTTTCAAGTTCTCACATTGTTAATGATTATTTAATGAATCAGAGCACTTGTTATTTTCAAGAGCTAAAAAAAATGTCTTAAAATATAAAATAGTTAATTGATATGAAACAGATTTTTAACATTTTTGCAGAAAAATAAGAAGAACCAAATTCTAGCTCAAATATACCGTAATCAATAGAAGGCTTGTATGATTTATATACTCTTATAATATCTAACAAAAGATCTGAAATTGCCAGTACTGATGAGTTTTAGAATTTTAAAAAAATCTATGATTATTTTTTACCTTATGAAGAACAATTACTCAGTTATTTTTGTATGAATAATAACTTAAGTGCCTAAATCACATTATTTAATTTAATTATTGATTACTTATAATAAACCCCTTAGCAAAAATCTACAGAAAATAAACTTAATATTTATCACTCATAATAAACTACCTAGCCGAAACCTTCAGAAAATTAACAAAATAAATGGGTGGAAATATTTAGTAATATTACTGAGTTTATTATAAGGGTTGCTGAAAAAATTATTTTTATCAAATTTTCTGAAAAAAATAGCAAAATTCCAATGACAATTGATCCCTCAAAAATTATTTATTAGCCTTTGTAGTTTCAAAATTTGATTAATCCTTTGCCAATTCCAAAAAAATGAGATAGTTATGCACATTAAATATAAATTCAACTTATTTTTTTTTATAGTTAATATAAATCTTAATAATCAAATTTGATAATAATTTATTAATATATCATTTCTTTAGAGTTTAACCTTTTTACTAGCCATTACTAACCGAAATAAGGTTGCTTCTTTTCTGTTTTTGGCTCTTAGAAGGAAGATCGCAACTAGCTGAGACTGAGACTTGTGCTATTTATTAATCAAATCTACCTTTCATTAGATTTAAAAACACTTTACTACAGTTTGAATACACTTTTGTACATCACCTAGAGTTGGGTCTCTGCTTGCTTTTTACCATCATACATATGATGGTCAAACCATTCTAAATTTTGTTCATTTGAGAATATTTTTAAATAATAAAAATAAAAGATGCTCAAATTATATGAATAAATTCTATTTGATTTGAAAATTAAATATTTTAGAAAGCTTTTTAAATATTTTCGATCAATAAACAATCAATATAAAAATTATATTGTAATAATTTTTCAATCCTTGTGAAAAAAAGTCTAAATCTTATGTCAGTAGAAATTTAAAAAAAAATAAATATTTAAAATAGGATGAAATGTTTTCTATACTCTAGACTTAATATGTGAATCAAAAAGTGATGTGTTACTAAATTTCTTTAAAAAAAAATGTAATATGAAATAATTTATATTTCTTGAAAATTTTGTTTCAACTTTATTTGAGTTTTATATAGATGAATTGGAAATTAAAAAAAATACATTAGGAAAAAATTTATAAATTATAACTAATTTTTAAAAGATTTTACAAGAAAGCCTATTCCATTTATATTGTACAGTTTAATCACAATTCATAACAAATACTTATTAAGTTATTAAGGAAATTCTTAAAAAAAATCACCAATTTAAAATTTTGTATAAGTATCTCATTGTTTTCTTTAGTAATTATAATTTTTAATTTATTAATGTAGTCATTAATTAAATAATGTAAATATATAACAGATTTTGCTATAAACTTAGGTATCAAATCTCAAAATAAAATTGGCAACTTTATAATCCTTTACTTACATATTTATATATATTACCTATTTAGTAAATGACATTGATCATATATCTATATTCTAATTAAGTGAGATTGGTTTATTTTCATTGTCAATCTCTTGAATGAATTGTGATATCAGAAATAGCATATTAATTAAAATTTTCCTTCTTAATTGTGGACACTAGTTTTTCTTCAGTAGGCTAACTACAATGAATTATAAAACAAAATAATAGATTCTCTTCTTCGATTATTAGATTTGTTTATAATTGTAAATTGGAATTATACTAATTATATCTCTTATTATAATGGATCTAAATTAATTATCTAACAAATTCTTTCATATGAATCCTAGTTACAAACTGCAGTTTTGTGTTTCTATTGATTAAACACTTAACTATACATTCAAATATTGTTATTTTAGTTAAGAATCTCTATGAATGAAATATTTATATAACATTTGAATTTCTTAAATATTATCTAAAAAACATATTAAATAAATATATTCCTCTCTTAAATTTATTATCAATTTGGTTTTTTATATTCAATTATAAATCCTAATATAAATACAATGAAAAATATCTAATAGCAACATAATAATGATGATTGAGATGCATATAAAAACCTATACTATAAAAAATAGTCCTTTTTCTCTTTAATTTATAATTTTGCAATAGTTTACTAGATGAAATGCACAGATAAGCTAATCCAAAAATAATAATTAGCCCTCTTTTTTTGCATTTGATCAATAAAATGACAAATATCTAGTAATTCTTGGAAAATTCATATCTAAATGGAGTTAAGTAATTATTTAATTTTTTTTTTATTAGATTAGAACATATATTGAGGCCAATAAAGACATAAGCAGTTTAATTTCAGAAAAATTTCAAAAGATTTACATCAAATAATGATTACTATCTAGAAATAATTGGCTATTTAATGATTAAATTTAAGCAAAAAAAATATATTGGGATATATTTGATTTTGGTTTCATGCAGACAAATAATAATTTAAATTTAGAAGATTTCCTCTTTAGTTTAAAAAAATTATGAAAAATAAACCAAAATGATTTTATTTTTTTATTTTACATTCCACCTTAACTTTCAATTTATTATACTATCTTTGAGAATATGTGTTATAAATTCATTTTCTCTACCCCAATTGAATATTGTTCATCATTTTTCAACTTTCATTACTTACTTTAAATAACATCATTTTATTTTTCCAAGCATATTTTTTTCACCCTCTATTTATGTTATTTAAAGTATTCTAATTTAAGTAAAATAAAAAATTCTTAATATATAAGAGTGGTATTTTCTTCTAAATGCTACTCGCTATTATATTTATATATTAATATAAGGCTATAAAAAATTGTAAGGCCAAATTATTAATGTAGTCTTTTTTTGATTATTATACATTG